TTCATGAACTTCATTTGCATCTTCCTTACCCCGCTCCTGTCCTCGGTTCCCACCCTCTCCACCGGCCCCGCACTGGTGATGGTGGGTGTCTTCATGATTGAGGGCGTGAAGGACATCGACTGGACCGACTACATGCAGGCAATCCCCTCCACCATCTGCATTCTGCTGCAGATCACCACCTACAAGATCGAGGTCGGCGTGCTGGGCGCCCTGATGGTCTGGGCCTTCCTGATGATCTTCTCCGGCCGCATCTTCTTGTACAACGACAAGGTTTGGAACTCCATGCCAGGATGGTTCCAGAACTTCGTGGCCAACCAGAACGGCGACGAAGAGTTCCGAAACCGCCTGAGGGAAGTAGGCAAGCTGCCACCAGCTGAGGACAAGATGGAAGAGGGCAGGAACGTCGGAGAAATCTCAGTCTAAGTCCAACATCATTTCCGATTTGCCACTGTAAACCGTGATGGAATTCCTGCTGCTGTTGCTGCAGGTGTCGTGGTATCCCGGTAGTGCGGACCCCTGCTTGATGGGCCCGCGTGTCTTGGACCCGGCTCAACATTCGGTGTGCTATCGCCACTAGTATATCCATCTAGTTAGCCTTTGCTGTGAAGCAACTTTGACAGCCGAGTGCAGGAACGCAGCTTTACCCCACTGCTAGGTTGAATCTTGAATTTATCAATGGGGGAAGGCGCACTGCCATAATCGGGGGCTGAACGAAGTTCAGCCTCTTTCGACAACTTTTCTGTGCTTGTGGTCACGAGAGATACTCTTTTCCTGCGCTGGCGGCCCTGATGTGCCGGAGGCATTCGTGAGGTCGTCTAGACAGGCAGCCTTGGAATTTGGCATCTGTCTCTCTGGTCACCGCACGTTTCGTTGAGAGTTGGCTCAGGCCACACCCCGTCGTCCGCCACTCCGAGAAATATCGGGCTTAAACTAGGATTTTCAGATCTCATATGATTCTCAAAAACATATGTCATGTGCATGTCTGGAATTTGTCGATCGAGAATTTGGATGGCTACCAAAATTCCCCCTCAATATAACTGTCCCCCTCTTTTCCTGTCACCCTGTCGGCCTGTTCCGGTCCCGTTCCCACGCCGGATCCCAGTTCCGGTCCTTGGCTGCTTGCGTCTCTGTTTGTCTCTTTCTCTCTCTGTTTGTCGCTCTCTCTCTCATTGTCTCCCTCTCTCTCTATTTATCTCTCTCTCTCTCTATATATTTGCCTATCATCTATCTTTTTATTTTGCATATTTGTCTATTATTTCCTATACTCTCTCTGCCATCTATCTTATTTATCTATCTATTTGATCGTCGGCCTATCTATATATCTATTTGTTTTATATTCTTCATCGATTATTCTATTTATTTTATATTATTCTACTTCTTTATCTCTCTCTTTCTCTAGATCTATCTTCTTATATATTTATCTTAATCGGATTTTAAATTTAATTTATAATATCTCTATCTATTTCTAGATATCTCTATTTATTTTGAATTATTAAATTAAATAATTCTTGAATATTTTTTTAATTCTTGAAATTATTTATAGATTCATAAATGATATTTTTATGATAATTAGAAAAATATATATTTCTTGATTATAATTCTGGATATTAAATTTGAATTTTTTTGACAGTTGGTAAATAATATCGATAGACAATAATATATAGAATATCCGGCTAATAATTTGAAGAGATATTGGATTGATGATCACCGATATTATTATATGAATATAGTAGTAGATTGGAAAACGATGAATTTGAATATTAATAATTTATATTATTATATTAATATATTAGTAAAATTATATTCCATATTGGTATTAGGTTTAATATATTGAGTATATCTTATAT